AGGTCCAGACAAATGTGTCTAGACCAACAGCACCAAAACTATGTGGGTAGTTGAGAGAAAGCAGTGTCAATGAAAATAATCCATAATCAATCTATAAATCAAAATTGGTATGAATTTATCATGAGCCAGGTCTGAGGATTATAGCTTGGGGTCTTCTCTCCCTGAGGAAGGAAGGGCACCGAAGAAGTAGGACATACAGAATAGTTATATACCACTTGGAACAAAGAGCATACATGATGTATGATAGGAATGACCCTTTTACAATAGTCACGAGATTAGCTCTCACAGCAGATCAGTGGTCACAAGGTGAGCACAGCAGGTCGGTAATTAATTCTGAGTTTCTAGGAAGAGATGCTTAGCCTTAAGGAAACGCCAATGGGGGAAGATACATCCCTATCTTTAAGGGCATCATTCTTGTCTTTGGGACATAGTAAATGTTTAAAGCAGAGGCACAATGCACGCTCAACAGGCCACGTCAGGCCCTTTTGGAAAAACAACACACGCCAAATTAGTTTTAAATGAAATGGCTTCCTCATATACTCCATTATATCCTATTGCTTTAATTTATTTATCAGCAAGGTATAGAATGTACAGAAGCTGGTCTATGGAAATTCTTCCAGTCCTTAGCATGTACACCCTAAAGTGATTCCCAATAAGTCACACCATTGTATAATCCCCTCTCTGAGTACAGATGGAACCTGTTACTTGCTTCCAACCATGCTTTATGATGGCAAAGGTAATAGGATATCACTCCTTAGATTAGGTTACATCATAAGGCAAAGGTGATGGGATGGCACTCCCATGATTTATGTTATGTTACATAAGACTTCATCTTAGCTGACTGGAGCCGGAAATTCTCCTGCTGCCCTTGAAGAAGCAAATAGCCATGTTGTAAACTGTCTTTGTAGAGGGTACACGTCAGGGAATTGTGCGCAGCCTCTAGGACCTGAGGATAGCCTCCAGCGGACAGCCAGTAAGAAACTAGGGCCCTCAGTCATCCAGGTGCAAGGAAATGAATTCTGCTGACAACATGAATAAGCTTGGAAGTGGATTCTTCCTTAGTCAAGCCTCCAGAAAAGAGCACAGCCTGGTCAACATCTTGATTACAGCCTGGTGAGACCCTGAGCAGAAGACCCAGTCTTGTGTCTGGACTCCATACCCACAGAAGCTGTGAGATACATGTGTGTTGTTTTAAGTCACTGTGTTTGTGGTAACTTATTGTGCAACAACAGAAAACTAATATACCTAACATGTAAAATTGTAAGGAAAAGATTGGATCCTCATCAAATCCTAGTTAAAATGGAAATTCTCTCCTTCCAGAAATATACTCAACAATGCAGCATATACAATTATAAACTCCCCTATTTTTTTCACTAGAAATATATAATTTATCAGATTTCCTGCACTTGTACAGCACAAAGTCATAACAGTACTAACAGCAGCAATTACATCTGTTTTACATATCCCAATATATTCGATTGTAGTTAGGATGTCATTACAAATAAAAAATTGTACAATTGAAAGACACTTTTGAAAATTATCAAGATATAAAAAATTATATTATAAAACATTATCTCTCCCTTTCTACCAAATCATCTCAATTGGAATATAAAAATGCTTTATTAACTTGCATCTTTAAAAAAGTCCTCCTCAGCTATATATTCAATTTCAGTTTCACCTCCCACAACCCATTTCTCTTCTTCACAGAAAACTTCTCAAGAGTTGTCCACACCTAACTAACTCCTCTTCCTTACTCCACCTTTAATCCTCAACATCTGCTCATCAGAAAGTACACAGCCAAAATAATTTAGGGAAGAAAGTGCTTTAGAGTTATGTCAGGTGATTAATGATTAAAATTTTCATATTATTTTTGTAGGTTTTGTGATGTTTATGGTGTTTGTCAACTTTTTGTAATTTATTGCGATTTCTTTTCTCACTCTAACAAAACATTTTCTTTTATATCCAATTATGTACTCTCAAAATTGTAAAAATAGGCTGGCCCAGTGGCGCAGCGTTTAAGCTTGCATGCTCCAGTTGGTGGCCCAAGGTTTGCCGGTTCGGGTCCCGGGTGCATCTGCACTGCCCATAAAACCTTGCTGTGGCAGGAATCCCACATATAAAGTAGAGGAAGATGGGCTCAGATGTTAGCTCAGGGCCAGTCGTCCTCAGTAAAAAGAGGAGGATTGGTGGCAGATGTTAGCTCAGGGCTAATCTTCCACAGAAAAAAAGGAAAAGAAAATTGTAAAAACTTCAGGCCCCAGAAAACATGAATCCCTCTGAGAGGAACTAAAACACTGCACTATTTCTAAGACTGTTTCCCACTTTCCAAATTTATACACTAGTCCTGGTAAAAGGACTCAAATCTTATTTTCTTGCCAAATTCACTATCTCAATGATCTCTCCAGAAAGGTAGACTTGATATAACGGGGTCCCACCTTACTCTTGCCATTCTAATGCCTCGTCTCCATTACCCTGGGGACTGAATTCTGCTCCTAAACCAACTTTAATTAGAAAGGATATACTCTCTGATTTCAGGCATCCCTGCTACAAACTATATATCAGCTTGTGTACCAAAATCTCTAATGCTGCCTGTTTTTTAGATTTCTAATTATATCCTCCACTACCCTATAAGATGTATCTTGCTGTACACCCAGCCATCACTTTCCCCATTACTATTTGCTCTGCTGAACTTCCCATTATCTATCACTAACCATGCTGGATGTGTTCTACTTCTAGGCTGCACTTTCCATCTTTACTAACAGCTGGTTCCTCTACAACAACTCCTTGTCCCAATAGATGTAGTTCCTGGAACTAGCTTTCCAAGTCCATTACAGATAACAATCCTATGACCAGCTATTTGACAAAATACAACCACCATCAGAATAGTACTCTCAAATTCAATAAAAAATAGATTCCAAAGAAATAGAAATGCACAGACTGACAAAAATCCATCAGAGGAGAGCTCTCTCAACTTCCCACTAGTAAATCTATAAACCTTCCTAAACAACATCCTGTTCTCTCTATCTCCTATCACAAAAGAAGACTTGTCCCTGCTCCTCTTAAAAGCCAATGCCTCTCCTGTGCTCTGGATACCATTCTTCCTCACCTTTCAGGAACATAACTTCTTCAGACAATCCCCTCTCTCCTACACCTTCAATCTCCCCCTTTCTACTAAATCATCTCTATCGGCATATAAAAATGCTGTATTACATCACATATTTAAAAAATTCTCCTCAACTAAATACTCAGTTTCAGGTTCACCTCCCACAATCCATCTCTCCACTGTTCTTCACAGAAAACTTCTCAAGAGTTGGCCATATATAATTCCTCTTCCTTACTTCCTTTTTAATCCTCAACACCTGTTAACTTGGACTCTGTCCTTACTACTCCATTGAAACTCTTGTCAAGATCACCAAAGATCACCCTACTATCAAAACTAATCGTGATTCTCTCTTCTTGATTTACTGTAATGTTCATCAGTAATCAGACAATTGTCCATTCTCTCTGTAAGGAGCTCAGGTGAAGGAGACTGGGCCATAGCTGGGAGAATATTGGCGTGCAGGGAGATAAAAGAGGAAAAGGCTTGACTTGGGAGAGACCACATGACAAGGAGCTGGGTTAGAAGATTGTCTAGCACCAAGGAGCTACATGAAAACTAAATTGATGTTTGAAGGCCATCTCTCCTTCAAGTGAATAAATCACATTGCCCTCATTGAAGAGCGCATGAGTTTGTCTTATCACTATCCAGTGATGTCCTTCCATTTTCAGATAACTGCACATCATTCATGAAAACAGTCATTGTCCTAAAATAGCGCTGAGCCACCCCCATCGGAATAACCACACTGTGTAGAAATCTCACTTTCATCAGTCTAGTATATTTTTAATTCTCCTGAAAAGGTAAGGTGGTAATTTCTTAACAACTTGAGGAGAAATTCCAGCATCAATACTTGAGTGGGACTGGACAGTGACGAAATCCCACACCACCAATTCACTTCCTACAGGAGACATTCTTCTTAGCTCTGTGAAACCATCCCCTCCTGGTTTTCCTCATACCTCACTAGCAGTTCTTTCTCAGTTTCATTTTTTGCTCTTTCTCTTCTACCTAATATTTACAGGGGCTCTATCCTTTCTCCCTTGGGCATATTATCCAGTCCTCTGTATATGTGCGTGTCCGTGTGCGTGTGTGTGTGTGTGTGTATCCATAACTAAGTTTATACATTCATTTCAGACTTCTCTTATGAGCTATGTATTCACCGATCAAAATTTCTACTTGATTTCTCCATATGTACATCCAGTAGGTATCTTAAACTCAATATGTCTTTATATGTTATAATGAACTCTATTTCTTCCCTAAATCACTTTCCCAAGTATTCTTCCCATCTCAGTGAAGGCACCAACATCTGCTCAGTTTGTACAAGCCAAAACACAGGATCCATCCTTAATTTATCTCTCCCTGGTGTCTTACATCCAATTCATTAACAAGCCCAGTTGATTCAATCTGCAAAATATTTTCCAAATCTGTCCTTTTCTCTGAATCTTCAATGTCACTGATATAGTCTAATCTATCATCGTCCCTCTCAACCTGATTAGAGCCACAATCTTCTCACTAAAGTCCTCTTTCTCTCCTATAATGCATTCTTCAGAAAGCAGTCAGAATGCTTTTTGTTGTTGTTGTTGTTAAGATTTGCTCTGAGCTAACATCTGTTGCCAGTTCTCTTCTTTTTTGGCCTGAAGATTAGCCCTGAGCTAACATCTGTGCCAGTCTCCCTCCACTTTATATGTGGTGGCTGCCACAACATGTCTTGATGAGTGGTGTAGGTCCACATCCAGGATCTGAATCTGTGAACCCAGGCCACCCAAGTGGCGCATGCCAGATTTAACCACTATCCCACAGGGCCAGCCCTCAGAATGCTCTTTTAAAAATATAATTAAAATGTCACTCCTTTTCTCAATCCTTAAGGAATTCTCATTACACTTAAAACAAAATCCAAATTTCTTACCTTGGTGTTCTTGAGGAACTTTGAATGATCAATCTTGGCTTCAAGTTGAGAAGCTTTGGAACCTTGCCATTGTAATACCATTCCTTCTCCTAGGAAAATATGGAATTAATATAACATCATCATTATTCCAAAAGAGTCACACAGCAAGACCTACACTACAGTTCAAGGAAATAGATATATGAATGTGAATGTATGTGTTTATAATATATATTTTGTACATATTTATAATTTTGCATATATATTTACATATATATGCTAAGAGAAATTAAAATAAATAAAGCTCTGTAAAATTCTTTGTGATATCTCTGTGTGCGCAAAAATAATACAGATTGGTTGCCTTAATGTTTCTATTAGGTAATGGAAGGAAATATTACCTTTATCAGTTAGGATGCTTTAAGCTACAAGAATGGGAAACATATTTTAAAATGACTTAAACAGAAGGACACTATTTCACATAACAATCAATCCAGAGGTTAGTTGATTCAGAGCTCCAGTGGATTTAGGATTGTAGCATATTAACTATATCAGTTTTTGCCCTGAGCTTGTCCATTATGGTCAGGAAAAAGCTGTAACAGCTCCAAGGTTCACCTCCTCACAGAACAAGTCCAAAGACACAAAAGAGAAGATTTCCTTGATTTGTCTGTTCTTATAAACAGGGAGAATCTTCTTCAGTAACTCATCTATAAGATTACTCCTCACTTCTTATTATCCAGAAGTGCCTAATCTGCCAATGCCTAAACCAATCTGCTGCAAGGAGATTGGGATTAGAACTATTTTAGACCAATCATAACTCAGTATCGAGGGTTAGTGAGAAATCCAGCCTCCCATGAAGCTCATGGCAGCCTTATATCTGAACAAAATTGAGATTCTGTTAGCAAGAAAGAAGGGAGATCTCTTAATAAGAAAGAAGGGATATAGAGTCTGTCAAACTTCCTTTTAGCAATTTGAATGACTAAAGAGAAATTGTGATTAGTTGTCATCAATGACCATCATTTCTGTCCAATGGAAGTATTAAAAGGGGGCATCTTCCTCTTTGAAGCAATCACCAGATTTATCCATGAAACTTGGTGGTGGACAAATCTATTTCTTACCTCTCCCCTTTGTCTTGAATTGCTCAAGACTTGGAAATAAACATGAAATCTCACCAGCAGAGGGCTGAGGATTCATGAAGTTAATTTGCTATTATTATTATTACTTAATATTACCTTTAGTTGATAATGAAGAATCTGTAGGAAAACTCTTCTGAGTAGTGTTTATCTGTCAGTATTCTAAAATTATTTCACCGATTACTAAAAACAGATATCTCTCCTCCTACCTTATTGGAGATGATAACCCAGACTCAGTATCTATTCCCACACCTTTGCTTTCTATTTCTACCACCTTGCATTAAAGCACCCCTAACCACACTGGTGAGGATATTGTCTGGATTAGAAATACCTGCAACGAGCTCTACTACTAGAATATAAAATCCAGCCTCCAACCCAAAGCAAATGATAAGAGCATTGTGAGAGAAAATAACTCCTTCAACACCTTCTTCAATGAGACTTGTTGTCAATATGTCCCTCACAAGAATGTTTGTAGTCCTGGAACCAATTGTCAGTGGTTAAGTTCACCCTAGGATGTCATCATTGGCAGAGAAGGTGTTGCAAATAGCTGTGACTCTAGCCACTACACCATTGAAAAGGAAATCATTGACGTCGTGTTGGATACGATTCAGAAGCTAGCTGACCTAAGTATAGGTATCCAGGCTTTCTTAGATTTCTGCTGGCTGATGGTAAAGCCAGTTTTTATTTTGCCTCCCTGTTGATAGTTGATTATAGGAACAGAGTTCTTCATTTACCCAGCTTCTTAGTTTTTCTTAGCTGTAGCTAAGATCTTCAATTTCATCTACTCTGAAGTACTCTGATTTGTGCCTTTATATGAGATAATGGGATTATCTATAATATTCATGTAAAAACCTTGATATCAAGCACCCAATATACAATAACCTTAACCACATTATCAACCAGATTGTATGCTCCATCACTGCTTCCCTCAGATTTTATGATGCCTTGACTATATCTACACGACAGAATTCCATACCAACTTGTTTCTATCTCCATATCTATCTCCCTCTGTCCACATATATCCCAGTTATATTTTCTGGGAAAACCAACCACAAACGTTGTCTGTAGCAGAGAATAGTAATGCTTGCTCTGAGTTAATCAACCATGTAAGCTTTGCGATGGCAAAAATAGGGCATGTCTAAAGGCAGGATGGAGAGTTTAAAACCATAGGTCGGAGCCAGGAGGAATGAAACTGCAAATATACCAAGCAATAGAAACAAAAGAGTAATGTAAACATCAGCACAGCCCAGAATTCAATAAGGAAAGCCCTCCTAAAACAGGTTTAGAGGTAGACAAAAGCATGAGTTAGAGGAAGCAGGTTAGAGTAGTGCAAAGTGTGGTCTGATGTCTAGCAGCACACACATCATCAGGGAACTTGTTAGAAATACAAATTCTCAGTCTCCACCCTGGCACAGTGAAGCAGAAATGTTAGTGTGGGGTCCAACAATGTGTGCTTTAACAGGCAGGCCAGGTGATTTTGGTGTGTGCTGAAGTTTTGTGTCCACTGAGCTAGAGGATCTGGCTATCAGACCAAAGATAAGAAAGTAAGCCAAAGATGAGGAGGGAGATGATCTGAACATTATTTCAGTCAAGAAAAAAGGTATAAAGTGCTATAGCATAGTTTAGAAGGCAGCTAGATCTGATGGTGAACAGTGACTATGGCTGAATTTGGATCTCTGGAACGGGGCTCTGAACGTTCTCTTTCATAAAGGGACTGAGTCCAATCCCCTAATTAGGGCAGATCCTGATGCATTTACAGTATATTGCCTAGAAAGCCACCAGGATTTGAAGCCCCACTTAGGGATTTTCAGGTTTGTCATCTTTTTTTTAATTTCTCTTTTTTTGAGATGTAATTGACATATAACATTGTATTAGTTTCACATGTATGACACAATGATTCAATATTTGTATATATTGTGAAATGACTGCCACAATAACTCTACTTAACATCCACCACACAGTTATAAATTTTTTTATTGTGACAAGAAATTTTAAGATTCACTCTCTTAGCAACTTTCAAATATACAGTATAGTATTATTAACTATAGACATCATGTTATATATTACATCCCCAGGATGTATTTATTTTATAACTGGAAATTTGTAACTTTTAACCACCTTCACCCATTTTGCCCACCCTCGACTCCCCATAGTTAAAACGTAACTAGGAAGCCATATTTACATACATATATACTTACATGCAGCACAAGGACAACAAAAATGAAGGAAAGAGACAGTCCAGATCAAAGTGGAGAAGGGCAGAGAGCCAGGAAATCACAAAAATCAAGCCACCATATTTTTTAATATTACACAAAAGCAACAGAAAAGGGAGCTCTCTGAACTAAGAAAGTAAAAATCTCATTTGCTATTCATTGGGTATAGAAAATAAACACAAATAAAGCCAGCTATAAAGTTAACAGAAAATAATATTTCTCTAAGAATATACTGTAAAGTATCACGAAAAAAACCCACGTAGAGTAATTACTACTTTTTTTACTCACAGAGAACCTTTTTCTCTAAAATCATAGATTGTCAAAAAATCTTGCTGTTTGAAATCCTTTCACTAAGATCAAAATATCCCACTCTTAGCTCTAAGACCTAAGTCACTTTGACACAGAGAAACAGCCTCTACCTCAAACCCAGGGGTAGACCTTCAAAAGAGGGGGTTTTGGACACATTCTACATCTATTTTAACTTTGTAGTTTCCAAGAAAACAGCACCTGGGTCCACGTTGCAGTCCAGACCTAATGTAGACCTCTTACATACAGCCTTGCTTTCTTTTGAGCCTATGAAAACACTACTTCATTTTAACTTCTTCTAACCTCCACACTTCCTCGAATTCCCATGATAAATGTATCTTTTCCTTTATTTAGTGAGGCACCCCATGATTCTTCTGGAACGGGGACTCTCTCGTTGCAGTGAGCCAGAAACCTGGCTTTCTTGAAATATCTTTTTTTTTCCTGATGGACATAGGCTTATTGGACTAGGAAGTCGGCCTCACACTAAAAGTTCAGGAACATTAATTTTACATAAAAATAAGGGACAAAAACGTATCAAGTTCAAATCCTATACAAAGCTATTTAAAATAAAAGGAGAGAGAGAAGATGGAGCATAACATCATCATTACAGATAACAAAAGCACGTCTGAAATATGTGCCACAAAATAGATAAAAATTGTGAATTACTATTTTTAAACTAGCTAAATGACACTAAGAAAATGATACAAGAGAGTGATGTCAGCATCACGGCACAGCGAGTTATTCCCTTTGTCTCTCCTTTAAGTTACAACCAATCAGACATCCATTGACCAATAAATGACTCTCTATACAGCATAACAAGAGATATATATAGAACATTCCATTCTAAAACAGCAAAATATACATTCTTCTCAAGTGCACATGGAACATTCTCAAAGAAAGAGCATATGTTGGGAAACAAAGCAAGTCTCAATAAATTTAAGAATATTGAAATCATATCAAGCATCTTTTCTGACCACAATGCTATGAAAACTACAAGAAAAAAGCTGGAGGGGCTAGCCCAGTGGCGCAGCGGTTAAGTTTGCACATTCCACTTTGGCAGCCCCGGATTCGCTGGTTCAGATCCCAGGTGCAGACATAGGCACTGCTTGTCAAGCCATGCTGTGGTAGGCATCCTACATATAAAGTAGAGGAAGATGGGCACGGATGTTAGCTCAGGGCCAGTCTTCCTCAGCAAAAAGGAGGAGGATTGGCAGTAGATGTTAGCTCAGGGCAAATTTTCCTCAAAAGAAAAAAAAGAAAAAGCTAGAAAAGTCACAAATATGTGGAGACTAAACAACATGCTACTGCACAACTATTGGATCAATGAAGAAATCAAAGGAGAAATAAAAAAATACCTGGAGACAATGAAAATGAAAACACAACATACCAATACTTAAGGGATGCAGCAAAAGCAGTACTAAGAAGGAAGTTTATAGCAATAAGGGCCTAACTCAACAAGCAAGAAAAGTCTCAAATAAACAATATAACACTATATCTGAAAGAACTAGCAAAATAAAAATAAACAAAGCTCAAAGTCAGCAGAAGGAGGGAAATAATAAAAATCAGAGCAGAAATAAATGAAATAGAGACCACAAGAAAATAGAAAAAAATCAATGAAACTAAGAGCTAGTTCTTTGAAAAGATAGACAAAATTGACAAACCTTTAGCTAGACTCACTAAGAAAAAAAGTGATAAGGCTCAAATAAATAAAATCAGAAATGAAAGAGGAGAAATTACAATAGACATCACAGAAATACAAAGGATTATAAGAGAATACTATGCAAAGCTATACATCAATAAATTGGTTAACCTAGAAGAAATGAATAAATTCTTGGAATCGTGCAACCTCCCAAACCTAAATCAATAAGAAATAGAGAATCTGAATGGACCAATCACAAGTAAAGAGCTTGAAACAGTAATTGAAAACCAAAATCAAAAGTCCAGGACCAGACAGCTTCTCTGGTGAATTCTACCACACATTCAAAGAAGATTTAATACCTATCCTTCTCAAACTCTTCTGAAAAACTGAAGAGCACAGGATGATTCCTAACTCATTTTATGAGGCAAACATTACCTGATACCAAAAGCAGGCAAAGACAACACAAAAAAAGGAAAATTACAGGCCAACAATCACTGATGACGACAGAGGCAGAAATTCACAACAAAATATTAGCAAATCAAACACAATAATACATTGAAAGGATCGTACACCACGATCAAGAGGGATTTATTTATACCACGGACATAGGGATGGTTCAACAAACATTCACAAATCAATCAATGCAATACAACATAATAACAAAATGAGGAATAAAAATCACATGGTCGGGGCTGGCCCAGTGGCACAGTGGTTAAGCTCACACGTTCCACTTCAGCAGCCCAGGGTTCACTAGTTTGGATCCTGGGTGCAGGCATGGCACTGCTTGGCAAGCCATGCTGTGGTAGGCATCCCACATATAAAGTAGAGGATGATGGGAGCGGATGTTAGCTCAGGGCCAGCATTCCTCAGAAAAAAAAGGAGGATTGGCAGCAATTAGCTCAGGGCTAATCTTCCTCAAAAAAAAAAAAAATCTCACGATCATCTCAATAGACACAGAGAAAGCATTTTACAAGATCCAACATCCATTTATGACAAAAACTAAAAATAAAATGGGTATAGAAGGAAAGTATCTCAACATAATAAAAGTCAAATATGGCAAACCCACAGCCAATATCATATTCATGGTGAAAAACCTAAAGTTTTTCCTCTGAGAACAGGAACAAGACAAAGATACCCACTCTTGCCACTCTCATTCAACATAGTACTGGTAGTTTTAGACAGAGCAACTAGGCAAGAAAAAGAAATAAAAAGCATCTAATTTGGAAAGGAAGCAGTAAAACTGTCACTACTCACAGACGATTCTATATATAGAAAACCCTAAAGAATCCATCAGAAAACTGTTTGAAGAATTAATGAATACAGTAAAGTTGTAGGTTACAAAATCAACATACAAAAGTCAGTTGCATTTCTATACTCTAATAACGAACTAGCAGACAGAGAAATCAAGAATACAATCCCATTTACAATTGGAATAAAGAAAATAGAATACCTAGGAGTAAACTTAATCAAGGAGGTGAATGACCTATACACTGATAACTATAAGACATTATCGAAAGATATCAATGATGACATAAAGAAATGGAAAGGTATCCCATGCCCAAGGATTGGAAAAACAAACATAGTTAAAAATGTCCATGTTACCTAAAGCAATCTATAAATCTAATGCAATCCCAACCAGAATCCCAACAACATTCTTCACAAAAATAGAACAAAGAATCCTAAAATTTATGTGGAACAACAAAAGACCCTGATTAGCCAAAGCAACCCTGAGAAAAAAGAACAAAGCTGGAAGTATCACAATCCCTGATTTCAAAATACACTACAAAGCTATAGTAACAAAACAGCATGATACTGGCACAAAAACAGACACACAGATCAAGGGAACAGAATTGAGAGCCCAGAAATAAAACCACATATCTTTGGATTGCTAATCTTCGACAAAGGAGCCAAAAACATACAACAGAGAAAGGAAAGTTTCTTCAATAAATAGTGTTGGGAAAACTGGACAGCCATGTGCAAAAGAATGAAATTAGTACACTATCTTGCACCATACACAAAAATTAACTCAAAATGGGTTGAAGACTTGAATGTAAGACCTGAAACCATAAATTCCTAGAAGAAAATACAGACAGTACACTCTTTGACACTGGTCTTAGCTGTATCTTTTTGAATACCATGTATACTCAGGCAAGGGAAACAAAAGAAAAAATTAACAAATGGGACTACATCAGACTAAAAAGCTTCTGCGCAGCAAAGGAAACCATCATCAAAGCAAAAAGACATCCCACCAACTGGGAGAAAATATTTGTAAATCATATTCTGACAAGCGGTTTATTTCCAAAGTATATAAAGAACTCATAGAACTCAAGAACAAAAAAATGAACCACCCAGTCAAAAATTGGGAAAAGTATCTAAACAGATATTTTTCCAAATAACATACACAGGTGGCCAGTAGGCACATGAAAATATGTTCAACATCACTGATTATTATGGAAATGCAAACCAAAACTACAATGATCTATCACCTCACACCTGTCAGAATGGCTATAGTTAGCAAGACAAGAAATAACAAGTGTTGGACAGCATGTGGAGAAGAGGGAACCCTCAGACACTGCTGGTGAGAATGCAAACTGGTGCCTAGACTATGGAAAACATCAGGGAGATTTCTCAAAAAATTAAAAATAGAAATACCATATGATCCAGCTACTCCACTTCTGAGTATTTACCCAAAGAACACAAACTCACTCATTCCAAAAAATATATGCACCCCTATGTTCATTGAAGCATTATTCACAATAGCCAAGACTTGGAAGCAACCCATGTGCCCATAAACTGATGAAAAGATAAAGAAGATGTGTTATATATATACAATAGAATACTACTCAGCCATAAAAAAAGACAAAGTCATGCCATTTGTGACAACATGGATGGACCTTGAGTGTATTATGATAATTGAAACGTCAGACAGAGAAAGACAAATACTGTATGATTTCAGTCATATGTGGAAGATAAACACATAGATAAGGAGAACAAGATTAGCAGTTATCAGAGGGGAAGGAGATGGGGGGACGGCATAAGGGGTAAAGGGGCACATATGTATGGTAACAGATAAAAACTAGACTATTGGTCATGAACAAAGTGCAGTCTATACAGAAGCTGAAATATAATAATGTACACCTGAAACCTACACAGTTATAAACCATTATGACCTCAATAAAGTAATTTTTTTAAAAAAGAAAATGATACAAGATCTGACAGAACATGATTCAGAATTAGAAAAGCTCAATTAATTCAATGGGAGAAATCCTTTCACAATGTATATGTATGTCAAATCATCACACTGTACACTTTTTTAACCAAAATGAGCAGCTTTACAAGGCAAAGATAGGTTTCAAAGAAAAAGAGAGGCTTTATTAAAGGTTTGCAAATGGGGGAAGTACACCTCAACCAGCAAGCTGATAGATGAGCGCAGCCCTTGGTTTTGGAGTGGCTGGTTTCAAAGGCAAAATTGCAGTGTATGCAAGGTTAAGTCCAGTTCTAACTGGTTACTCTTTCCAGCTACAGTGTAGCTTGTGCTTGGGGCTTTCTAAATGTCCAAACTGCAGGGAAAAACTACTTCGTTGTTCTCTGGCCATCTGGTGACAGTCAAGGTTAAAACATAATTTTTTATTTCTGCCTATAGTTCAGCCTTGAGGTGGTCATGGTAACCATCACATCAACTTCGCCTCATCTGTATCTCTTTCTTTTATCAACTTTAAATATCTTACAATTTTATTTGTCAGTTATACCTCAATAGAGCTAGGGAAAAAATTAGGAAAACTCAGAAATGAGGTGACAGAACTCAGGAGAATTAGTAATAAACTAGAGGGAACACAAAAGCTAACATACACAACAGACTATGGTTTTCTGTAAAGAACCTGAACCAATCCTTAGGTCAATGTTTCTCTTGTCATTTTGGTTGTCTGATGCTCATTCTCTAGTAATTCTTCAGGAAGGGCTTGTTTATGTTTATATCATATCAAGTGTTGATCACAGTTTATAACCTTTGTACGTGAGAATTGGTTTTGCTGGATATAAAATCCTTACCCCACACTCGTCCCCTCGAGTAACCTAAATACGTTATTCTACTTTCTTCTGGCAAAAAGCTTCACTGTCAAAAGTCATGATATTATAATTTTCTTTCCCATTTTGGAAGTGTGAGAAAACATTAAAATGTGTTAAATCTGTGGTGGCCTAGTGGTTAAGTGTGGGGCACTCTCTTCTGAGGCCCAGGTTTGGTTTCCAGGCATGGACCTACACTGATCATCTATTGGTGGCCATGCTGTGACAGCAGCTCACATACAAAACAGAGGAAGACTGGCAACATGTTAGACCACGACAAATCTTCCTCAGCCAAAAAAAAAAAAAAAAAATATATATATATATATATATATATATATATATACATAATCTATTAAATGTGGGTATCTGTTATACTGTTTGAAATAATTCATACTATATTTTCCCAACTCTAAGATAACCTCAATTTTAAGAGCACCATTATTTCCTGTATTGATAAAAAAGAAAAAATACATTCCAATTTTAGGGATGTTTAAATGTGAAGAAATGTAGGTCTTAGATGAAATTCAGTATATTCATTTTCTATTGCCGCATAACAAATTACCATAAATATAGTGGCTTAAAACAACATAAATTTATCAGCTCACAGTTCTGCAGGTTAGCACTGGTGGCACGGCATAGCTGGGTTCTCTGCCCAGGACCTCACAAGTTGAAATAAGGTATCAGCTGACTGTGTTCTGATCTGGAGCTCGGAGCCTCCTTGCAGCTGTAGGCCAAGGTCCCTGTTTTCTTGTTGGTTGTAGCTGGAGGCCACTCTTGGCTCCTAGAGGCCATTCCCACTCCTTTCTATGTGGCCTCTTTCCTCTTCAAAACCAGCAATGGAGAATCTCTTTCACATTAAATTCCTCCTCACACTTTGAATCTCTTTCTCTAGGCCCAGTCTCTTTTAAAGCTTGAGAGGTAATATAGAAATAAACAAATAAATATACACCAGAAGGTGATAAATGCTAAAAAAAAGAAAATAAAAGAAGTTTACACTTGCTTTTCCCCCATCTAGATTATTCTTCTGCTAGATAATTGCAGGGTTCACATCATTCAGGTTTTGGCAAAAATGTCACCTCCTCAAAGAGGCCATCCTTGACTACTCTATCTAAAATTATCTCCCCGTTCCTCCCCAAGTCTCCTTCTAACTCCCTATCCTTTTATATTTTTTCATCATATTTAGTTTCCGAAATTATTTTGTCATTTATTTTCCATTTTTTGGCTTCCCACAATGAGACTGATGAAATCAGGGATCATTGTATCTCTATCACCTGATCAATGTCTAGTCATTAGGTCCAAAAGTTCAATACACATTCAACAAAAATTTAGGAAGAAAATAAATGCAGAAGGGAAACTGGAGGGAAATAGAGAAATTAGCATTTTCTGTGGGGTGGGCCAGTCAAAGACATTTATATTTAACTTAGAATAAAGAGAAAAGACAAGGAATAAGCCTAGTGCTAGAGCGGAACCTTGAAAGAATGGGACTTAGACCAAGTTCATTTTAAAGGTTATGTAAAAAAGGCACACAACTGGACAGAGAAATCTGAATGATGCCATCGGTGAGCAGCATGAAGTTTCAATTACACAATTTTGAAAAGAGAATAGAGAAGCACAAAGAATAATGCAGTTTTGCCTGAACCCTCTTTCAACCCAAGGAAGGGAGAAATTCTAATTAAATAAAAATATACATTACAGAAGACGATATAAAGTCAACGTATATGCCAATTGTTAAAATCCTACAATTGTTTCTTCAAATATTACTGTTATCTAGACTGAAAGCTAAATCCTAATCTTATCGTGTCCCACTAATTCTTGTTGTTTCTAAGAAAGGTGAAAGGGTAGTCAATGGAAAGAGAATTAGATGAGAGGTCCTTAAGCACGTGTTCTGGTAATGACTAGCTCTGTGACCTTGACCAAGTCATTTTACACTGAAGGGAGTTCCTTTCCCTGAACAACAAAGTGAAGAGGGCAAACCGGGTGACATAATGTCACTTACAGCTCTAAAAGTCAAATGATTCTATTACGTCTGTGACAGTACCTAACATGTGGTAGATGTCCAAAATTATTTGTTAAACGTATAGCGTCTTAAAATGGAATCCCAGACTGGAATTCTGGAGCTACCTATTACTAACCTTGGGGTTTTGGTTTTTTTTATAAAATGAAGAGGTTTCCTCTTCTTGTTATAAAACCCTTAAAGATTTTGCTAGTGCAACCCCATCATTTTGCTGGCCACTGGAATCCTCTGGGCTTGGCTGTAGATTGAGAGCTGACGTGGAACTCCAGTGTTTTGGTTCCATTCCCGTCCGCGGGAACCGGTCGCAGCTCACTGCGCACACCTGCGGCAAATCCCACCCCGCGGCCACACCCAAACCGGAAAACGGGACGCCGCTGGGGTTGACGGGAAAGCACAGCCGGGCTGCGCGCCCCGCAGGCCCGCCCCTGCGGTGACGTCACCGCCCGCCCCTTGACCCTCGGCGGTCCCGCCCCCTCCCTCCCTTCCCGGGCTGGCGGCGTCTGAGGCGATGGAGATGTCCGACCCGGTGGCTGCACCTCCGGCCGAAGAGGCGTCCTGCTCTTCCTGGGGCGCCAGCAGGTGAGAAGACCAGTTGGGCGCGAAGACGCGAGGACTGGCGGGCAGGACCCGGCGCCAGCTTTCTGCTTCTTCCTCTCGGGCGGGGAGGGAGCGCTGCGGGGCCGAGCGGAGCCGGCCCTGGGAGGCAAGGGGTGCGCGCGGGGTGGGTGTGGCGGCGTGGGCGCCGGCCTCTGCGGCTCCCGGTTTAGAGGAGGAGAAAGTCCACTTCTGGTCCCTTTCAGCGCTTTCTCAGTTCCGATTAGGGTCTGCCAGCCTCCTTCCTCCCAGTCACCGGACGTGTGCGGGGCGGGGAGGGGGCGGGGCGCCTTTGACCAAGAGTTCTGGCCGGTCGCTGGGTGTGAGCTTCCCAGCGCTAGTGCCCGACACCTTCTTCCCTCCTCTCGGAAAGTGAAAGCCAAGAGCTCTTCTGTGCGCGATCCTCCGCTGAGCTCCTCCTCTGAAAACTGTTACCAGAGGGAAGTTGGTCATGGTGAATCAGTGGCGGTCAGGACACCCAGAGGCCTCTGTTGACTCCAGTAAAAAAAGAAAAAAAAAATCCAGGAAAAAACCCTGCACGAGTTACTCATTCTTATCTTCTACTTGGTGTTAAGGTTTTTCAGGTCTTTTGCACTCTTGCAAAATGTTCATGTAGTTCTTGTTTCAATCACCTCATAATTAATAAAGTGGATAGTTAAATCCTACCCACGACCGGAATATAATATTCCAACGATAGAAATGATGGATATATGATTTTGAGTTAATGTGAGACTGTCATAAACCTGTAGAATTTTTTCTAATGAGACTGAAGGGAACCTTTTAGAACGATGATATTGCCTGCTGTTGTCAACACTGCCAAATATGCTTGGGGACTATTATGTAATACAAACAAAACCTCCCCTTAAGGATGTTTTGATTGCCAGGTATACCTTATTATAGAAATGTTGAAACATTCCAGTAAGGCAGAACTTTCTGAAAAGTAAGTGCGAGTCATATCATTAAGTGACAGCTGGTTAGAATATAGCTCTTCTCATTTTTACTTGAGAGCTTTACCCGCCAGACTGTTGCCCTCGGTGCAAGGAAGACAGCTAGTGAAAGTGTACTAAGGAGAAAAAAACTGTATAATAAATTTGATTTTTATATTTTGTTACAATGCCAAAACACGGTATATTGTGCATGTATATTTTTATTAGGTGATCTCCTAGGACACAGCTGTCTTCTGGTTTGCTCTCATAATTGCAATCAGGAATCTCTCTAATAGTTATCCGTTTGGTTAGCTAGAAGCTGGTGTGATTTGCTGATCCCAATGAATTTGTGGTAAGATAAATGATAACGTTTTGATTAAGTATATTTACAAATCCTTTGGCTTATATATCAGTCCCAGGCCTAGAAAACTGGATTCTAAAACTAAATATCATGCTGTCACGTTTTTAGAATCCTGTAATTGATAATTAGAGCTTCCTAGAACCTGGAATGCATTACACTTTTGCCAAGATGATATTGATCTCCACTGTCACCATGGCTCAGACCCAAATGCCCCAGGCTGGTTCCTTCCGTCCAGCAACTGTCTGTTTCCCATTGTATATCCTATTATCATTTCTCTTTGTGTGCTGTGCTGTGAAAAAATTGAGATGAGCTGTGGCAAACGATATATTACTATATCTTGTCACATTAGTATGTTTAATGCTTTTTTTTGTTGTTTTTAAAGTTCATTCAACAGATGTTGAATGCTTTCTTTATGTCTACTATGAGAGGCAGTAGGCAGTATAGCATCGTGGTCAAGAGCTAGACTGCCTAGGTTCCTATCCTGGCTCTGCCATTTACCTGCTTTGTGACCTTGGGCAGGTTATTTAAGTTAACCTCTGTCAGCCTTAGTTTTTTTCCTCTGTTCAGTGGAGATGGGTAATAGTGCGTATCTCACAAAGTTGTTGTAAGGGTTAACTCAGTACATCTAAAGCACTTAAAACAATTAGTGACACTGTTCTCTCTTATGAGTAGTAAATGTCAGGTACTGTTTTAGGTATTTGGAATACAGTAATGAATGCTTAGCACATCATACATTCTATAGGGGAAGACAGACAATAAACAGCTATGGTAAATGATTGGAAGGAAATACAGCAGGGTATGGAGTTAGGGAGTGACCTAGGGAGAAGGGGAGCCATTTCATTGATAGGGTGAATCAGGAATGGGCTGTGTAATATTTGTGAGACAATATTTTAATAGAGGCTTAAATGATAGGAGTCAGCTATTCAGAGATCTGAAGGAAGAATATTCCAAGCAGAGGAAATAGCAACTGTAAAAACTTTGAAGTGGTAGCAAGCTTGGCTTTTTGCGGAACAGCAAGTAGGCCAGTTTGGCTGAATATAGTCAGCAAGAGGGAGAGTGGTGGGAGTTGAGATTGGAGAGGAAATTGGGAGACAGAACACATAGGCCCTTTTAAGCATGTAAAGTGTTTGAATTTTATTCTAGGAGTAAAGGAAATCCACTGAAGGGTAGTTCTAAGTTGGGGAGTGATGGCTGACTACATTCTAAAAGATTAGGCTGTTATGTGGAGAATAAACTGAAGAGAAAGGACATTGGTAGAAATGGGGAGACTAGTTAGGAGGCCTTTGAAGTAGTTCAGATGAAATGTGATGGTGGTTTGGCTTAAGATTGTACTGATTGAAATAGTGATAAGTGATCAGATATGAGATCTGTTTTGAAGGTAGAGCTAACAGGACTCACAGATGGAGAAAATGAGAGAACAAGTTAAACAAGAAGATCCCTAGATTTTTGGTCTAAGCAAGTGAGTAAATTGTGGTACCAGAAATTGGGTTGGGGAAAGACTGGGGGAAAACAGATTAAGTAGGGACAATTAATTCTGTTTGGGGCTTATTATGTTCATAATACCAATTAGACATTAGAGTAGAGATGTTCTTTTGTCAGGTGTATAAAATCTGGATGTCAGTGAATATATCAAACATGGAGCAATAAGTTTAGATATTATCAGTTTATGGTAAATTCCATGGGTTGAATGAGATTATCTAAAGATTATGTATATTAAAGAACGTTTATGGGGCACTCCAACAAAATTGCTAAAATCTAGGTCAGAATATGTGTAGCAATGATAACACCTGAGAATGAAACAACCATGGACTCTAATTTTACCCACAGACAGAATAGACAATCAGTGAATTTAATTTTGACCTATTTTTAAAATCTAAGTAAAGTGGTATATAAATATATTTCTGGTTTGTAAAATCTCCTTTAATAACTGGTGACTCTGATTTCACATATAATTGACTGTTGTATTACAGAATGTGAATATTGAATAACTGTACTTGCCCTTATAAATTGTTTTATTTTTTCAGTACAAATACAAATTTGCCAATCATGTCAACAGAATCTGTGGAGATTGATGATGCGTTATACAGGTAAGGACCTTATGAAAACGGAAACTTATTTTCCCCATTCATTGTTCTCAAGTAATGAAGTAGTCTATTTGAAGATACCATTAAGCCTATGCAGAATTTTGTAAATATATCCTAAGAGTTCCTCTCAAGTTAAAATTAGAGTTTCTGTGGTTTTGGGGGGAGTTTTCTGGGTTTTTTTTTCTTTTTTTTTTGTTTTTTGTTTTTTGTTTTTAGTCTGAAAGCTTGAATAATATTTAAATCTCAGTTGCTTTAGGTTTCGGTGATGTGACTAAGAATGATTTTGCTATTCACCACAAAATATACCTGTTGTTTTTGGGCAGTACACATTCATATTCTCACTACTGCAAGAGTCTCATGAAAAACAGTTCATTTCACTTCAGTCAGTAACATCTAGAGAATATATTTGCTTTAATCTCATTAACAACATTGCATATTTGCACTGTGTAGAAAGTGGAGAGGTATTGTGTGATTGAAGAGCTGTGATTTGAATAGAATTTAGTAGGCCTTTTTTTACGATACTTTTCCGTGAACTCAAAATGTATTTTTCAAAAGTAAAGAAAAATTAAAACACATGTTGCTATTATTCCTAAGAAATTTTTTTTAATACTTTGTTGTTTGTATGGAAGATAATGTAATCTCAGTTTAAAAGTTTTTAGACTTTCTCTCTATACAATCATAAAAGACATTTTATGAAGGTAAAATTTGGCTCATTATGTATTTTGAATTTCTCTTTATATTTTTTTAAAAAGAAAAGACTAACTTAATTTTACTTATGTGAAAATCATTTTACCATATGGTCTCCTGATTATAAATATACTTCAGAAGTCACTTAAGTTTGACTCTTAATCTATAATTATGATGTTCTTAATGTCCCTTTGGTCATATTCTTAGGATAACAAATGGCAGCTCCTTGAGATAGCATTGACTAATTTTATTCATTAGTTATAATCCTTGTGAAACTATTTTATATCCATCCGACCCTGTAATGGCTGATTAATGGATATAATTTTCAGTAAACCAGAGATTAAATTTTCCATTTGCACTGTTATGTAAGTAGTCTGAAGTTTGCTTGGCTGAAAGTTACAGAATATAGCAGTTCAGATGTGATATATAGTAATTTATATATGATCAGGTGTTGCTGGA